CCTCTTGATGCTGGTTACCAAAATGTCCCTACACTTTTACACAAATTGCTTATCACTTCACTAATTACACGCTTCCTCGACAAAGTAGGCTGCGTTCAAAACGCACGGGACATCCGACACCTCAGCCTCCGACACACCAATGGGAGGCTTGTGGGTGGCTATTCGGGGCGGTCCAAATGCTTTCCAGGACTCTTTACTGCCCCGGACCATGAGCTATAGGACGTGGACAGAAATACCTTATTGGGCTCTCCTCGTGGGGAAAGACATTCCTGTAATGGAAGACATTTCAGCAAAAACACACGTATTCCCACTTGTGTTTATATTTTCAATTGCTATTGAAAGCAACGTTCGACCATGAGTGATGCCGGTTGTCAACCCTCTTATTTCTGAAAATACTTGTTTGTTTAGATAAAAAAGGAGTACATAAATTATGCCAATACAGAATATTAATATGGAGAAATTTAGAAACTTTATTTGTGCATGTTTTATAGCAGTTTCCTCACATCACAGAATGGTTTGTAATTTTAGTATATGTTGAAATTCAATAATACTTTATTAATCCCAGAGGGAAATCAGACCACTGTGGTGTTGTTATAAAAGCTATGCTTTTGTGTTCAGTAGATTAACAACAGAAACACATTCGGTGGAAAAAATGGAGAGCAGAGAGGAACGTGTTTCACAAACCAGTTTGTTAGTTGTTTTTTTTTTGTATCACAGCAATATATGGTGGCTAATGGATGTGCATCGAGTCCTTATTGATACTTCAAATTGTCTTAGTTGGAAGTCTTTCACCAAACTTGCTCCAGTCCTTCCAGCAGCACAGCATCCAAGCAACCAAAGAAAATATGTTTTAGAACCATGTTTTTCTCATGTAAACGTGCTAATTTCACACAGTATGGCTAGACCAGGGGCCTCAAGGATTTTACAATCAAAAGAAAATGGATAACTTATCTACTAAATGCACCATTACGTCTAAAAACTGCCATAAACTAAGAGGAAAAGCAAAGAAATGTCTAAAAAAAATGTTAGAAGTGTCTTTCTTTGCTTCTTCTGATGCGTTGTGAACGATTCAAACACACGCCAGTGTTCAACATGTCGTTTTTGTGTCACCGGGCTTAACTATGTCACATAATGTGCACAGAGGAGGCCGACCATGACGTTCAGGTGAACTGATGCAAACAGGGAAGGAGCAGCACTGAAGGTGAAGAAGGTTCTGCTTGAAACAGCAGTGCCTGAAAAACACAGCAGAAACTGTTAGATTGTGTTTCCAAATATTTTTGTTGCATTTCATTTTTTCTAATTTTTTCTTTCAGCTTTTTTAGTGTTGATAAATCAAAAATCAAATACAGGATTTAAAAAATGTATTCCATAACACAAATGCCACATTTTTGTCTCCTAAGCCAACCATTGCATATAAAAGATGGATAAGATTTGTTGGTCAGAAAAGAATACAAAAAGCTGAATTAGGTGTGATTATAACAGCGGTGGGAATTTTTTTTTAAAAAGTCAATGTTATTAAAGTGCGACATGATCAAAGCTAAACGATTGAAAGTTTCAAAGTCCCACTTTGAGATGTTAGACACAGAAAGAACCCCTGGTATAATGATAAACAGCTAACCTGTTATGATGGTGTTAGACAGTGCCATCACTAAATCATTTTCCATCTTCAGGCTGTGGTCCCCGGCCGGCTGCAGCCAGCTGACCACGCTGAATATCCCCGACGAGCTTTCCGTCAAACTGGTGTTTGCATCCAGGACTTCTCCTGCCTGATTGGTCCAGGTAACAGTGGGTCGAGGGAACCATCTAACGGCCTCGGCGATCAGAACGTCGTCCGATAACCTGAAAGTGGGAGCTGAAAACGCTGAAAGTGGAGAAGGGAAAAATGTCCGTCAGACCTCTTATGGATGTCTTCAACCACCATATTTGGCACGGGGAAGACAACCTCATGTAAACATGTGGATATCAACCGCTAATAACACAAGCCAAATAGAGATGATCAAAGATGTACAAGTAGTCTCAGAGAGATTATTATTTTCTTAGTAAATACAGACTGAAACTGGAAGGACGAGTCTCCCCACCTGCCACTCGGAGCTGAATGTTGATCTTCCCTTGGCCTGCGGATGACTTGATAGTGCAGGTGTATTCGCCCTCGTCACTCCTGCGCACACCCCTCAGCAGCAGGGACGCGTTTCCCGTGGTCACAGCATCGGGGAAGAGCTGGACTCTCCCTTTGAAGGCCGGGGCCTGGCCCTCCAGGGCCGGAGCTCCATTCTCATACTTATAAACCTGCAGCTCCTTCTTCTCCCAGGTGACCTCACTGAGTCTGTTTTGCTGATTTTCCGTGGCAAGATAACAGCTGAGAAGCTGGTCTTGGCCCAGGTTGGCGGTCGGTTTTGTGCTGATGCTCAGAACCTCAGGCCCTTGTTCTGTGGATAAGAGCAGAGTCTCATTATGGGTCACCTACTCAGACGACCCATCCAAGACTTAGTGCATGGTGTTTGGCTTTGATTCAGATCTAAATATATGCAGGAATATAAATGTGTATATCTGAGTCTAAATAATAGGCATAATGGGACACATTATTTCTGAAATGGACCTGAGTTTTAATGTGCAACTTTGAGAAAATAATTTAATTCTGTAAAAGGAAGGTTTGCCCTTGACTCCGAGTTTTTCAAACTAACTTTGCAAAAGATTGAAAGTTGAAACCTTCTGGAGAGGAAACTTTTTCTATTTTGCTTCATGTTATTCATACCAAACCATAAAACAGTCAGAAAAGGTCAGACCTGAGGTCATTTTTCCATTGGAGAGTTGGATAAATTTGTACCAATCAGCACTTCACAATAACGAAAAACATTTTTTTTTATTTCACGGGGAAAAAAACAGAATAAAAAAATATCATATTCAGAATATTTATTTACACAGTGATGAAACAACAGGAACGTGAGCTTAAGAGCAGGTTTTGCTCTTATTCTTCCGGAGACGAGCTGGAGTCATCTGCTTTTTGAAACATCTCCACAGGGAGGGCTTCTTTGGCTCCAGGACTTCTTCAGATGACGTATAATCCTGGTCTGTGGAGGTGGCCGGGCTTTGTGAATGTGTCGGCTGGAGGAGAGGTGGGTCCACCTCCACGCTGCTGGCCTGATGATGAGAGGCGCCATCATAGGAGCTGCTGTCCTCGTCTGAGGAGTCTGCAGGT